GCTAGCTGTAAGTTAAAAAAATACAATGACATATAAGCTAGTAAATAAGCGCTAGTTCAGTTCTCCCTGTTCACTCAGGACGTAGCAGCTGTATGCTACATACTAGCATAAAGGCTCAGCTCAGGATTCTGACTCTGGAATAATAAATAATAGTAGATGAAGGGCTGTTGATTGCTAATGCAGATGTAGTTTTCTGTTTTTGTAAACACCTGTATGGCCTTTCACACGTTTGAAATAATATAAACAATATCTACATAACTTTTGACTGCCTTTTTTAAAAATATACACAGTACTTGTACTTTTACTTATACTTGTACTTTCGATACTTGAGTAGCAATTTTTGAAATACTTCTACTTGCAATACTTAAGTTTAAAAAAAATGGAGTACTTCCGTACTTCCACTTAAGTACGGAGTTGAAAGAACACTTCAACTTTTACTCAAGTCAGTTTTTTTACTTTCCCACCATGTAGTATGGGTGGGACGGTTCACAAAATCCACGGTTCGGTTCGGTTCACGGTTTCGTGGTCACGGTTTTCGGTTCGGTTCGGTATATGTTGATTGTTAGGAAAATCTATTATGTCTTGTATAGTCAAGTTAAAACTGAAATAAAAAAGCAGTCTGACATTTGATCCATTATTGTGTTATCTGAGGTTAAAAGTAGGTGAGATTCTGGCATTGCAAGCGAGGAAACAGAGCTAATTCCAACATGTGCTTCCCTCTAAATGCAAAGTGGTCCATACAGCAGACCTAGAAACTGCTGTTGGCACATCTGATTTTTATTATCGGCTACGCTGCTTTGCTTCTTCTTCTTGTTTCCTACTGGTGGTTGGCTTTGGGCGCAGTAGCGCCCCCTTCTGCTCTGGAGTGTAAACGCTTCCCTCTGAGAAAAAGGAGCAGCATGAACCGAACGCAACACACGCGAACCGAACCGAGACAGAACCCAACGGTTCGGAAGGTTTTCAGAAACCGTCCCATCCCTACCATGTAGGACTCCACCAGGTGGGTGGTCTCCAGGGCCAGGCGCTGCTCCTGTTCGATGTTGTAACCGACGTAGCAGAGCTTCTCCTTCAGCATCCGCACCGTCTCGAAGTCGGCCGAGTGGTTGAAGGCGTAGCCGCGCAGCAGCAGGAGCTAGCACACAGGTCAAAGGTCAGAGGCGAAGCCAGGGACAAAACACGGCTCTTTACGGGCCCCAAACAGGGACAGAAATCAGAATTAACCTCCGTACGCACTCTTAGAATTAAACTCCTCCAAACACTGTACTGAAAACCATAACAGAAAAAACAATTAAAAGCTCTCAAATGAACAAGTAAAGACATTTATCTCTTATATAACCTACAAAAAGAAGCTCTCATACAAAGTAGTGAGAGCTTTTCACATAAACTAGTTAAAAAGCTTTCATACACACCAGTTAAAAGCTTTTAAGATTAGTGTGTGTAAAAGGTTATCACCAGTTTGTATTAACACTTCTCACTACTTTGTATTAGAGCTTTTTTAATAAGTTACATAAGAGTTAAAAGTTTGTTTTAACTAGTTCATGTCTTTATGAAATATCCAAATTTAATAGTTAAAATCAACCTAATTTTAAAGACTTAATCTAGAAAGTGCAGAGTGGACTGACGGCAACATTACAGCTGGAAGAGAGTGTGTTTATTTGAGGCAAAATGTGAATTAAGGGCTCTTATATACCCTACTACAAAAGCTCGTCTATAGACGTCTTTTATGTTTTTCAACGAGAGTGTCTGGGGGACGATCTGCTAAAGCTTGTCCGTAAATATCAGGCTTCTAGACAGAGTATGTAGTAACAAATTGACCCTCTAGGGGGCAGTGCCACTTTTGATGGGAGATGAGCATAGACTGTAGGCAAATAAGAAAAAGGGAACGGTTCGATGTGAGAGAACATGTCGCCGCTGAGACGCAAGTCCAGGAAGAACGGAATAAGGTAGAAACACATTTTTTTTCCTGATGAAAGAAGAGAGTCTACTCTTTCTTTTGGTGTGTTCGGTGTTTACATAGTCATAGCACAAACTATTCTGTGGCTCTTGAAAAATCAGTCAAAATGCTCAAAAAACTCTGGCAGTCAATGAGTTAATAAAGACAGCTAGCTTTTAGTGGGTCATACAACAGGTAAATGTTTTCCTGTGAGAGCTTTTCTCTGCTGTTTTCCAGTGTTTGGTGTCATATGTGTGTGTATGGGAGTTTATTCTGAGTTTTGACCCCGCCGGGGCCCCGTAGTGGGCGTGGCCGGCCCACCTTGATCAGGTAGCGCGTGATGTCCCGCCCGGCGATGTCCAGCCGGCGGGTGAGGTGGGGCAGGGAGAAGCCCTCGTACACGGGGCAGATGTGGGTCACGCCATCCCCGGAGTCCACCACCACGCCGGTCAGAAGACCTGTGTAAATATCACAGAAACATGGTTTTTCTCTCCAAAAGAGGACCATCCTGCCACAAAAAAAGTGCCACGATTAGCTCCTTCGGCACTCGATCTGTATTATTGTATTATTTTATTGTTGTATTATTGTATTGTATTATTGTATTGGTATATTATTGTATTGTTGTATTATTGTATTGTTCTTTTGTTGTACTATTGTATTGTTGTATTGTAGTATTTTTGTATTACTGTATTGTTGTGTTGTATTATTTTATTCTTGTATTATTGTATTGTAGTATTTTTGTATTACTGTATTAGTGTGTATTGTTGTATTGTTATAATGTTGTATCGTTGTATTATTGTATTGTTGTATTGTTGTATTGTTGTATTGTTGTATTGCTGTATTATTGTATTGTTATATTTTTGTATTATTGTATTGTTGTATCGTTGTGGGGACAGCATCTCAGGCCCTTCTGACCACAGTCTGACCCGCAAATATCACAGAAATACGGGTTTTCTCTCCAATGGGAGGAGCATCCTGCCAGAAAAGCAGCGCCACCATTGGCTCCTTCGGCACTCGATCAGTGTTATTGTATTTTTTTATTGTTGTATTATTGTCTTGTTTTATTGTTGTATTATTTTATTGATGTATTGTATTGTTGTTGTATTGTATTGTTGTATTATTGTATTATTTTATTACTGTATTGTTGTATTATTGTATTATTTTATTGTTTTATTATTTTATTACT